ATCTCTACTACTCTTCTAATTCACTCTATTCTAGCATTTTTCATTCTCTCTACCCTTAGGTAGTTGCATCCACCAAGCTCTCTACTCATAGGTAATTGCATATACAAGTTTCCTACACTTTCTTAGGTCACTTTTCATGCACAATTAGTGGCTATGGATGTTCATCTCCTCTAATCACTTTGAAATGCCAACATGCAATGTTGCAAGAATTAAGGTTCATTACTCATACTCAAACCTCTATTAGGCATTTCATCAAACAACATAAGTGCTTATAAAACTCTCTATAGCAATGATTCTAAGACTTTTTTCTAACCATCCAAAATGGGAGAAACCCCTTCACATAACCACAAAACCTGCCAAATAAAACACTTCCAAAAAGGGTTCCACAATACCCCTTCAATTCCATCTCAAACTACCTTTCCAACCCACAACTCATTTCTATATTTGAAAGGTATAAACAATCACAAGGACTAGAAATCTCTATTTAGCCTCCATACATGGCATATCACATGCATACATCTTTCTATCAAAACCCTAATCAAGAAAATTCTTAAATCTCACTTGGGTTGAGATTTACTTACTTTGTTATGGAGAGACTTCACCAACTCTTCCTTTCATTGGTTTGCTTGACTTTTTCTCTACTCTTAACCAAAAGAACAAAAACCCTCAAACTTCAAATTAAGCTAAAACTCACAAAGTTTCACACCAAAGTAAGATCCTTACCTTAGGAAGTCTTAGTTGATTTTCTACCCTAAATCACTTCAAAAACCCCTTGGAACTTCCTTGATCAAAAGAAAGAGAAGTTGAGAGGAAGCAAGAGAGGAGAGTTGCGTTAGAGAAGAAGAATGAAGGGTTTGCTAAGTCTTAATTCCTTTTAATGAAATTTATACACAAGCATTCCCATTTTGCCCTTACTCTTCTTTGGGAATTCTATCTATATCCTTTGATTCATTACAAACACACCCCCATATCAATATATTCTCCATGAAAAATCCTTACAATTAACTCCCCACTTTTCCTGCTAATTAGGGGTAGAATGGTCAAATTGCCCTTAGGGAAGAAAATATCTAAAACTTAACAAACATTTTGGTCGGCCTGTCGCCGCGGCGAAACTGCCCAGAGAGTTTCCCCGTGGTTTCAACACATCTTCGCTGCGCCACTTTTCCTGCTAATTAGGGGTAGAATGGTCAAATTTCCCTTAGGGAAGAAAATATCTAAAACTTAACAAACATTTTGGTCGGCCTGTCGCCGCGGCGAAACTGCCCAAAGAGTTTCCCCGTGGTTTCAACACATCTTCGCCGTGGCGAAGATTCTTCTTCGCCCCGGCGAAGCTTGGCACACTAAACTTCTTCTATTTTCAACCAATTTCAGGGCAAGCATTCAACACAACACTCAATCAAACAATATTACCAAAAACCAACTCAAATAAGAGCGACAGAAGCAACAATAACTACGTACCTCAGGTGGGGCGTTACACTGAAGGTCGGCACTGCCCGAAGGAAAATCCCACAAACCATCTTGAATAATGTCTGAAACCTGAGCATTTCATGGCAAACCAGTGGAAGTCAAAGTTCTAAAAGAGAGTAAGTCACACAAAGGTCCCTATGGTAGCCAGTAATCTTGCCATAAAATGGTGTCCCTACCATCACCGATACAAGTCACAATAAGACCCCGGCACCAAACCCGACTAAGTAAAATATTCCTCCAAGCCCATGAAGCCCCAGACATAACTCGAATATGCCAAAAGGACTGACCGCGGAGGAGAACCAAACGGGCCCAAGAGGACCATACAAAAGACCTATCATTAAGTAGTCTCCACACGTGTTTAAGAATAGCCGCTCTATTCCAATCTTGGATCCTCTTAATCCCCAACCCACCCTCTCTCAATGGATAGCAAACAGAAAACCATGCAACCTTGGCACCAGAAGGGGACAAAGAAGTACCCCTCCAAAGAAATGATGCCAAAATACTCCCAATCCGTTTAACTATAGCTGCCGGCAAAAGAAACATGGATGACCAATATACCTGTATGGAGAATAGCACCGACTTGATCAACTGTAGTCGGCCTGCATAGGTCAAAGATGTCGACGTCCATAGTCTAATCCGAGACAAAATTCGCTCTAACAGAGGCCTATAATCAGAATGTCGAAGCCAGGTAGAGATCAGAGGAACCCCTAGATATCTAACTGGTAACTGGCCCAACTGGAAACCCATGACAGACTGTAACCCAATCTGCTCCTCATCTGTAACCCCAGAAAGAAACAACTGGCTCTTCTTTGAATTAGTCACCAACCCAGAAACCTTGGCAAAATAATCCAAGGGCGATTTGATCAGGCTAACAGAGGAAGCATCTACTCGACAAAACACTATCAAATCATCTGCAAAACACAAATGAGTAATAGCTGTCTGCCTACACCTCCAATGATAATGAAAACCAGGGCTGTGAGAGGTTTCCCGAAATATACCAGCTAACCCCTCCATAGCTAACAAAAATAGGTAAGGAGAAAGCGGGTCCCCCTGCCAAACACCCTGGGAGGACCTAAAAAAATCGTGAAGCTCTCCGTTCAGGGTAATAGAGAAATACAGTGTAGAGATACATGTCATGATCCACCTCACCATACGCTCAGGAAACCCCATAGTATGCAGTCCCAAAAAGATGAAATCCTAACTCACAGTATCAAAAGCTTTCCGAATATCAACTTTAAGGGCACATCGAGGTGAAGTACCCCCAAGATGATAATTCCGCAAAAGCTCCTGAGTCAGCAGAATATTATCAGAAATCCTTCAACCTGGGACAAAAGCTGACTGGGAACTCCCAATAACATCTAGAAGCACTACTTTAAACCGATTCACTATCACCTTAGAAATGCACTTCTAAAGTACATTACAACAAGATATCGGTCTAAAGTCCGTCATACGACTCAGGCTCTCCATCTTAGGAACCAAAGCAATCCTAGTGGCATTAACACATCTTGGCATTTCATTAGTAGCAAAAAATGGTCTAACTACATCTCTGAAATCTATACTAATAATATCCCATGCCCTCTTAAAAAACAAAGAAGTGTATCCATCCGAACCAGGGGCTTTATCATCCAAGATAGAGAATAAAGCCATCCTAATCTCATCATCAGTGATAAGAGCAGTCAAGGGAGAAATCATATCAGGAGAAATGCGCCTAAAAAAAATACCTGGAAGCCTCTGCGATCTGAGGTTGAGAAGGGGCAGCAAGAAGATCCTAAAAAAAACCCACCGCCAAACGCCCTAAGCCCTGACCGTTAGTAATATGGGTACCATTCCCATCAGTCAAACCGTGGATGCGGTTCCGAACCTGCCTATGGATCAACGACTTATGAAAGAACTTAGTATTTTGATCCCCTAAGTTCAGCAACTGAACACGAGACTGCTGCTTAAAAAAAGCCTCTTCATCTCAATAAAGACTGAAATACTGGTTGGCAAGGTTCCTCTCCTCAGAAATACATTCAGTAGAAAGGGGGTCCCTATCCAAATTTTCTTGGGCTGTCGCCTACTAAGCCCAGGCCTCAATTTCCCTGCTGAAGATATGGCTAGAAACCATAATATGGAAAGATTTGAACTTCCATTTCAATAACCCCAATTTCTGCGTAAGACGGAACATAGGATTGCCTACAATATGCTCGTCCCAAACTGCCTGAATAATATCCATAAAATTTGCATGATTAGCCCAAAAATTTAGAAATTTAAAAGGGGATGGCACCTTGCCACAACGGGGACCAAACCGGACAACCATAGAGCTATGATTTGAGACATCCCGAGGTCGAAACTCTGAAACTGTGCTCGGTCGATCAAGGAACCAAGAAAGCGATGCAAACACCCAATCGAGCTTCCGTAAAATAGTCCCATCGCCCTACTGACTGTTATGCCAAGTATAACGAAGCCCAGTAAAAGGAACCCCAATCAACTCAGCATCATGGATACATTGCCAAAATCATCCATATAACCATACCACTCAGGATCACCACCCACTCTGTCAGAGGCTCCCAAGATGGCATTAAAATCACCCAACACAAGCCACAAGAGCCCCTCCGAATCAAATTCTACTGCCTGATCCCTAAGGAAATCCCACAGATTGCGGTGATTCCCAGGGTCATTAAAACCGTGCACAAAAGTAATCCCAAAGGAGAACCCCTCGAAAACATGAATAGCCCTGCAAGTAATCTCCTGAAAAGAGCAATGAAGGCTAGTTACAGAGTACAGAGAAGGATCCAAACGTACCAAAACTCGATAGGTAATAGAATCCGTCGCATTTGACAAAAACTGGCATGAAGGACACACTGCCGAAACCACCAACTGTAGATAAGACTGCTCAACCTTAGTCTCCAACAAACCAATCAAACCCAAAGAAGAGGCGGAAATCCAATTCCTCACTGCGCGTTGCTTCAAGAAGCCGTTAAGGCCTTTAATATTCCAACTCCCTATCATTGGAATTGGGATAGAAACAAGCTAAAACATCACTTGAGTCGAAGCCCCCGCTTTCCCTTACCTTTCCCCTATACCAGGGGTGGCAAGGAAACTGATCCATATAAGGTAGCATCGGGTGTCTGGAGATCATCACTATGTAGAACAAGCCAGGCAAACCTGTTGGAGGAAGTAGATTGCCTACTCCTAGAACTCATAAAGGAAACCTGAGTGTTTTCCGTGCAATTTATGCAGCCCATAATGAGGTCCTGCTTGTCCTCAATAGGAAAAGGTGAATCAGGTTCTAATCCCAATTTAGAGCCAGAAAATTCACCTCTGCTAGCATGAATAGTCTACTGATACGGGACCAAAGCCAGAGAAGCATCCCCATCTCTAACTGTACTCGAAACTAAAACTCCAATTGGTGCAGGAACATCCCTCTCCCGCTCCCTCTCCTGCTCCCTCTCCCTCTCCCTCTCCCTCTCCCTAATGGGATCAGTAGTGGCTGGCTGCCTCAAAGGCTCGCAGTCCTCAGATGGCATTGCAATAGCTTTTCCCGGTGCCTTCTAGAAGCTAGTAACTATCTTACTCTTACCCTGAGCCATAGTTGCAATAGGTACCTCTCGTTGGTGACAAACATGGCCAAAAACACAACACTTGGGGCACCTCTTGGGGGTCAACTCATATTCCACTGTAATCTTAATGGGTTCAGCAGATAACCAGCATTGAAATTCAAAATGGCACTTTAGAGGCTTTGCTGCATCTATCTCAACACATACCCAAGCATAATCTAAACAGGTCCGTTCCGAGGTTGTTTTATCACTCAACAACGGCCGACCCAACATAGAAGAAACCATGCAGAGTCCTTTCTGAGACCATAAGTGATAAGGCAACCCATGCAAATGAGCCCACACCGGAACCTTGGAAATGCAGCTTTTATCAAAAGAAAAATGAGCATGCCATTGTTGTAGAACAATAGACTTGCCCCCAAACATCCACGGCCCTCTCTCAAGGATTGAATGCACCGCATCCTCATCCCTAAATCTAAATATGAAAAAACCAGTACCAGTCGACATAACATCTTCCAACCCCGCAGCTTCCCATGAACGGAAAGCAATTGAGTGGGCAGCATGAAATGGTATAGAATACCCCGGGAAATAACCCACAATACAGTGTAGCCATTCAACATCATTGTCATCAATAACATCATCCAGGATATGTAAAATGTCATCCTTAATATCGAGGTCCACAGCTTCAAGGGTGAAGTGGGACCTGACCTCAGTCACTCTAACCTTATCTGCCCAAGAGGAGGACACTGCTAATGTGCTCTTACCCATACTTTTCTGTTCTAAAACTGGCTTAGAGACTGGGTTTTTTTCACGAGGCTCAGGAGACACCCAATTGAGCTTGAAAAGCTACTTAGACTTCGGCATTTTTAAGCCATTAAAAGATTGCAATGATGAACCTGCAATATCATTAGATGCAAACTCAAGAAAACCAAAAGAAGAGTTTTTGTGAAGAAAAACCTTGGCTTCTTGAATCGCCACATTTGAGAGAGCAGATAACAAATACTTGTCATCCATCCATGGCTCTGAATCTCCAATCCATAAAGATTTCCCCAAATTTTTGGAAGTTTGTAGCTGCTAGGAGCTGATGGAGGCAGTCTTTAAAGTTTTGGCTTGGGTTGGGTGCGGGACGGTGTTATTTGGGAGCGAGGGATTTGGTTCAGACATTTTGTTGAACACCTGGTGGCAGGAAAAAAATGTGTGATTTAGGTGAGTTTAAAAGTTCAAAACAGCAGGGATTTGTGAAAAAATGCCAGGGGTGAAGAAGTTGTGGTGTTGGAATGGGGGAAGGTGGTCGGGAGGCCAAGAAGTGGGAAGGCAGCAACAAGCTGGTGTGCTAGGCGCTAGGCCCACGCGCATGTGCAAGGCTTATGCGCAAGGCCTGCAGAGGACTTTTATCGAACAGTTTGCGCACATGAAAAAAGCATCCTAAACTTGACAAAATGCAACCATGGTTTCCAGGGATCTGTAACAATCAAAACAAATTGCAGAAAATCACACCAAAAACACACCAAAACAGGTCCACGAATGGGCAAAGAAACCTAACCAAAACAGCATGTTCCTAGGAAAAAACAGCGAGTTTCTCCAGGAACCAGATGTTAATAAGGTACAAACAGCTATGGGGATTGTAGATCCTGCCCAGAAGAGTCATTCATGGCACTCCAGTGCAATTCCCGAACGAAAAACCCACGGCGAAAGCAATTCCAGATCTATAGACTACGTGAAATTTCATGGAAAAATCCTAGCGAACAAAGTAGCTAACACAACTAGTGATGAAACAACTAGATAGCCTATTCAATACTCTTTCCAACGGTGGGTGGATCGTCCAATTTCAATAATGGACACGCTCGGAACAAGCCGCCAAAGTTCCGGCAGCGAGAATGAACAAATATGCAGATTCCGTGAAGTTTCACGGCCAAATCCCAGCGAAATAAAAACCGACTATAAGCAGTGATGAAACTACTAGAAAGCTCATTCAATACTCCTTCCAACGGTGGGTGGATCGTCAGATTCTGACACCAGACGAACTTGGAAAAAGTTGACGAAGTTCCGGCAGCGAGAACGAGTTGAGAGCAAAACACTTAGAAAAACTTCCAGTTTTTTCCCTAAACCCTCTTTCCCTAAACCCTAAACCCTAAACCCAAACTCCAAACCCTAAACCCTAAACCCTAACCCCTAACCCCTAAACCTCTAAACCCTAAACCCTAAACCCTAAACCACTAAACCCTGAAACCCAAAACCCTAAACCCTAAAACCCAAAATCCTAAACCCAAAACCCAAAACCCAAACCCCAAACCTAAAACCCTAAACCTTAAACCCTAAACCCTAAACCCTAAACCCTAAATCCAAAACCCTAAACCCTAAACCCCAAACCCCAAACCCAAAACCCTAAACCGAAAACCTAAAACCCTAAAACCCTGAACCCTGAACCCTGAACCTTAAATCCTAATCTCGAAACCCTAAACCCGAAACCTGAAACCCCAATCCCCAATCCCTAAACCCCAAACCCTAAAACCTAAACCCTAAACCCTAAAACCTAAAACCTAAAACCCTAAACCCTAAACCCCAAACCCTAAACCCCAAACCACAAACCCCAAACCTTAAAGCCCCAAACCCTCAACCGAAAACCCTCAACCCCAACCCTCAACCCAAAGCCCTAAACCCTAAACCCAAACCCCAAACCCCAAACCCTTCAAACCCTTTAAACCCTAAACCCTTCAAACCCTACAAACCCTAAACCCTTCAAACCCTAAACTCTAAACCCGAAACCCGAAACCCAAAACCTAAAACCCAAAAACCCAAAACCCTAAACCCTTAAACCCTAAGCCCTAAATTCGAATCCCGAACCCCAACCCCAAACCCAAACCCCGAAACCCAAAACCTGAACCCCAAACCCAACCCTAAACCCCAACCCCTAAAACCCTAAACCCCTAAAACCCTAAAACCCTAAACCCCTAAAACCTTAAACCCCTAACCCCTAAACTCTTACCCTTAAACCCTAAACCCTAAACCCTAACTCTAAACCCTGAACCCTGAACCCTGAACCCGAAACTCGAAATCCTAAAACCCCAAACCCCAAACCCCAAACCCCAAACCCTAAACCTTCAAACCCTTCAAAACCTAAACCGTGAACCCTAACCCTAAACCCCTAAACCCCAACCCTTCAAACCCTAAACCCTAAACCCTAAACTCAAACCCTAAACCCTAAACCCTAACCCTTCAAACCCTTCAAAACCTAAACCCTGAACCCTAACCCCAGACCCCTAAACCCTTAACCGTAAAAATTGCTTTTGAATTAATGATTCAATTGATCAATTCGTTTAATAATGTGTTGATGGATGTTATATTGGTTTGTTGGTATCCTGGTCAAATGTTCGATTTGATTTGGATACGTGTTATTAACATGAAAAACTGTAAAAACGCAAACTGTACATTTTTGGGATTTCCAGACTTCGCCGTGGTGAAATAACAACTTTGCTGCAACAACATTCTTACTGGAACTTTCAAGGTTGCTGCGACAACATTTTTGGGTATGTATGGCTGTAATTTATTAAATAGGACCTACGTGTCTTGCCTTTCTCCCCTTCTCAATGTACATTCTTTTCTCATCTCATTCCCCTCGAATGTAAATCAGGGTTTCTAAATTTATTGATGTAAAATTACTTTAGATTAATTTTATTTTAAATTTAGTATGATGTTTTTTTAATTTACTTGAGACGAAACAAAGGAGGCAATCGTACTTGAAGACTCAAGATATTTATTATAGGACTCCTAGGTGACCTACCGATTCCTATAGGCTCGAGGAAATTGGTTTTAGTTGGGCCATGTATTGGCACATTTTAATTTTTTGTTTAGAATGCATGCTAAGGTTGAATGCTCAATAACATGCCAAACAATGTCATTCTAACAAAGATAATAATCTGGTGAGACATTAACTAATAAACCCTCAATTAAAGTATATTAAGTCACGTATGCCTTCCATCACCATGATTTTAATCAAACTACCATTCGTAGGAACCTTGTTTGCCAAAGCAAAGGGTACACTTCTACCAGTGGGAGGCTAAGATTCATTGGAGTTTTCCTTAATGGTGATAGGTCAACTTAAAATGACGGTTTTGCTTGTTCGCCAAAGCGAAGGTTGATAAACGCATCATAGGCATAGTAGAGAAGTACATATATTATGTGTACGTGGTGGCATGTAGTGTCCACTCTACTGATACTGAGAATCACACTTGAGGATAGTGGTTGGGGCCATTGAATTGTGTGATTGGCTTGTTAGCTTCTTCACATTTGAGGTTGATAGTAAAAGCTATCAACTGGTGTGGATTAAGTTCATTGGACTACCTAATCAACTCATTTTGGCTTCTTCACCAAAGCGAAGGTTTGAAATGGGTCAGATGGGATCTTAGTCCATTAGGAAAGCCAACGGGCTTTCCTGAGTTAATAGTGAGGGCTATTGACTTGAGGAAAATAATGGGAGCGTCGTTTAATAAAAGGACCATATTAAATAATAATGAACTTTATAATAACTTTATCTTTTCTACAATTGTAGATTTGCCAAAATGAGCATTATGAACCTGCAACCGATAATCAAGAAAGAAAGCAGGTTAGATGGATCCAATTTCTCAGACTGGTATCGTAATCTTCGAATTGTACTCAAGTCGAAAAAGAAATTGTATATCCTTGAAAAGCCATACATGGTTGAGCCTAATCCTGATGCCACTCAGGAAGTAAAGGATACTTATCAAAAGTTTCTTGATGATGCTGACGGCGTTCAATGCTTGATGTTAACATCGATGGCACCAGTGCTGCAAAAACAGCATGAGAATATGGATGCTACTACCATTATTCTACACCTCAAGGAGCTTTTCGAAGGGAATGCTTGACATGAGAGGTACAAGGTGTCAAAATCATTGTTTGGAAGTCGTCTAACTAAGGGTGCCCAAGTTGGTCCTCATGTGCTCAAGATGATCGAGCACATAGAGAGGCTTGAGACTTTGGGATTTGAGTTAGATGCAGAATTGCAAATGGATTTAATTCTGCAATCCTTACCTGACTCTTATGCACCGTTCATAATGAATTTCAATATGAACACAATGGTGAAAACCCTATCGGAACTTTTGAACATGTTGAGGACTACAGAGCAGGACTTGAAGAAGTCCAAGCCTATTTTACTGGTTGTTACCAGTAAAGGAAAGGGTAACGGCAAGGGTAAGGCCAAGGCCAAACCCAAGCCTAGCCCCAAAGGACATGTTGCTCTTGGGCCTGAGAGTGGCATAGGAAAGGGCAAAGTAGTATGCTTCTATTGTGGCAAGCTTGGCCACTAGGGGAAACACTGCAAGGCTTTCCTCGCAAGCAAGAAGAAGTTAGATGCTACGACTTCAGGTATATTTATGATTGAGATTAACTTCTCTCCCTCAACATCTTGGGTTATTGACACTAGATGTGGTACTCACATTTGTACTAATATGCAAGGACTAAGGCAGAGTAGAGTGCTCGCCAAGGGAGAAGTGGACCTATGAGTTGGAACTACATAACTGTTACCACGTACCTTCTATTTGTAGAACTATTTCAATATCCGTTTTGGATAATATAAGGTATCATTTTGAGATATCTAATGGATTGTTATCCTTTAGTTTGAATGATATTCTATTTGGAATTGAAAGGTTATATAATGGGTTATATGTTCTTGATTTAAAAAACAAAGATATTCTCAATGTTGAAACCAAGAAAGCTAAACATAGTGATCAAAACCAGACATATCTTTAGCA